GACAAAGAATGAACAATTAAGCTATCAAAAATTGAATTATAGAAAAAAATAGTTATATAAAAAGTTAAAGTTCTAAATTGTTCATTTTAAAATACAACTCAAAAACATTACTTTATTAGTAACAAAGTGCTTTTTAATTAAATATTGTATTATACAAGTTATTTTACGAAATTATAAAAAATAGAGGGAAAAGAAAATGCAAAAATATAAAAGGTTTTATATAAAATATTTTTTTTACTTCTATAAAGCTTATTTCGTTAATAGAATAAATATTTATTTCAGAATGAGCAAAATATAATAAATAATTCAGATCAATTCTTGACGTTGCTTTGAGTATGGTGAATATTCTTGATTGTAAAAGTAATAAAGAAGGATTTTTTATAACTAAAATAATTTTAGTGTTGATTTAGCAGAAAAATTATTAAGTCTTGCTTTAGTTACTTGAATTTTCCTTTTTTTTGTTTAAAACCTGGATTTCTAGGACTATTTTATAAATCAAAAAGTTCAACTTTTTCTAAACTTCCCAATTTCCCCATTTCCCCATTCCCGGGAATGGGGAAGTATTGAAATTTGTATGAAAAAGTTAAACTTTTTGACGTGGGAAATATTTGGGGAAATGGGGAAGTTCTGAAAAAGTTTATTTTTTTGAATTATAAAATGGTTTGAGAAAATGGGAATTTAAGAAAAAGTTGTGGTTTAATATGAAAAAATTAAATAAAAACAAAAAAAATGCATTGAATATTTTCAATTATTAATTGGTCAAATATTTTTTTTTATTTATTTCCTATTTTTTATAATTCCATTCAATTTGATCTCTTCCCGGGAATATTTTTTGGAGTTTAGGACGGGAATTTCCCCTCTCAATTTTTCGGGAAGAGATCTTTAAAAAAATCTATTCCGAATTAGCTTCGATCAAAAAAATTATTATTGTGTGCATTTTTTCCAAAAAAAAAATTAATTTTTCCATAAATAAAATTTTACCGCAGAAATTGTGATCAATTTTTCACAAAAAAAATTTTTTGCGAAAACGGTTTTTGGTCTAAAGTATTAACCTGTATTAATTTGAAAAAAATTTTGAGCAAAAACAATTAAATCATGTGAAAAAAAATTTAAAAATAAAAAAAAAATATTGAATAAAAAAATAAAAGAAAAAGAAAATTTTAATTAATTTTGATAAAAATAATTATGATTATAATTTTCACTTGTCCTTTAAAGAGTTTTTATATTTATTTTGCGACGCTACATTTCAGATTTTTGCCATTGAGGGTTGCTGATGCAGGATAAAAACGCCTTACAGCATACTATATGTGGGATTTTAGGCTATTATAAGGCTCAAACGAGCCAAAAAAAAGTGAAATCAATAATTTTAAAAGAGATCTATATAATCATTTTTGAGTGAATTGAGACATATCATTGCCAAAATTTTTTTTTTCAAATAAGCAAAAAATTTTATTCCAAATTTCAAATTAGCAAAAATTTTTTTATCCAAATTTCATTTAAGTAAAAAAATTTTTCATCCACAAGATGAAGTTAGTCTTAGAGATGGATTTATTAGTATTTAATAAATAATAATTTATTTGAAATAATTAATTTAACATATTATTAATGAATATACTAAATTTTTAGTTTTTTATAAATCAGATTAAGATTGCATAATTTAAAATTATATTTAAATATCTAATAATATTTTTTATAACTGCAATTTATATTAATTTTCTTGAAAATAAAAAGAAAATTGTTGCAACAATATATTTAGAAATAATTAAATTCCATATTACAAATTATTTTTATCGATAGAATTTTATATTTGAGGGAAATTGATTTCAATTTTATTCATTTTGCTTGTACTTTTTTCTCAAGAGATAGGACTAAATTCGTTATATCGAAAACCGTTTTCGCTAAAAAAATATTTCTATCAAAATTGCTAATAATTTCTGCGGAAAAATTTTTGTTTTTGAAATTTTTTTATTATTTTTGTCAAAATTGATTAGAAAAATCAAAAAATTTTTATTTTCTCAAGTAAAATTCCAAATTATTTCATGCTAGCCCTATACAAAAATGTTTATAAGACGAATTCAAAAAAACTGGAAATTCAGATAAAAATTAGATTATGATTAATCCAAAAAAAAACTTAATAAATTAGTCGAAATGTTAACGTTAGCACTATACAAAAGATGTTTATTTAAATTAAAACAAATTATTCTTCTATATTAATAAATAATATTATTTGTAATTTCTTTTATCTGCATTTATAAAAATATTTTTAAGTAAAATAGCATGTGAAGTTCTTATAAATAGTTTTGTTTGATGTTTTCATGGGCAAAAATCTTGAATGCATCTATTTCAAATTTTCTTGAAAAAAGTGTGAATAGGTGGTCATGGATTTTTTAATAAAAATAAATTTTTTTCCATCATTGCTAAAACAAAGTACCCTTACAAATTAACTGTCATTTTTTTTTGCGGAATAAACGTACGTAAAATTTTCATTTAAAATTTTAAAATTTTTTTTTTGAATAAACTCAATTCAAAAAAGAATTGTCATTTACAAAACATATATTTTTTAACAGATAATTAGTAATCTTTTAGATTTTATTAGAAAGAAATATGCTTTATAAGAAAATCTTATTTTTTATGAAAAAGTGAATATAATCTAATTTTGAAAGAGTGATCGTAAATCATAAAATTCACCCATTTTTTTTTACAAGTTCCTTTGCTCAATTTCTACTTAAATCTTGCTTCTGAAACATCGAGACCAAAATATTATTACAGTTCCTAAGTGTATAGATGATCTCAATTCGTTGCTAATTCAAATTTGAAAGATTATTCGATGACGATATTTATTTTTTTCGATTCTTTTTAATTTTATGGTTTTTACTAAACATATTCTTTATAATCATTCTCTTATTATGCTTTTTATTTGACTCTTTTTGCTTTTTTTAATATTATTCTATAAAGATTGAAAATCGCTATAATTTGATTAATTTGTGCTTCCAACCTGCGTTTTAGATAATAATTAAGTATAATACTTAAGTATGAATCTTAATTTTATATAATAATCACTCAAAAATTTCAATTTTAGCTTTTTTTAAATAAAAAAATATAGAAAAAGTCGATGAATAATGAGATTTATATTAAAAAAATGGTATAAATAAATTTAATATTATTTATAATTATATTATAACTATAAATATTGGGATTTAATTTGAATTTTTAATTAATAAAAAAATTGCTAACGATTAAAAAAACAAAATTCGTTATAACTTGGGCATTAAATAATATAGGATATAATGATTTAAATCCCCAAAGATTTTATCCAAATATTTGTTAAATATTAAGAAAAACCTCATTTACATGTAAAATCAATAATAAACGGTCAAAATTCTGATAAAAAAAAAATCATTTCAAAAAAATTCAATGGGAATAAAAAGAATTGTCAGATTTTGAGAGAGAAAGTAATATTATTTGTGAGAAAATTTTTCAAAAATTTCTTCTTACGTTTACTCGTACGTTTATTCCGCAAAAAAAAATGACAGTTAATTTGTAAGGGTATTTTCTTTTTAACAAATGATTTTTTTAATTATATAATTACACATTTATCAAATATATGTAAGGAAATGCTTTAAAGTTTGATAATTACTTCGATCTTTACTAAAAAGTAATCGAATATTATAATATATTCAGTTTGAATTTTATTAAAAGAATCTATTATATTATGCAAAGAACTAATTCTACTTTTGTCTTTTTAAGTTTTTGATCATATTTTTTAGGTTTATCAAATATTTTTGCCTTTGAAAATTGCGATTTTTTAGCAATGTGTAGGCTTTCTACAAGTTTTTTTTTTTTTTTTATTTTTTTGATATAAAAATTTCGGCATCCCTCATTTACATGATATTGAAATCAGGAATTCTTCTTTATGGAATTTATTTGGAACTTTTAATTATACTGCATTAATTTATGCTGCAGATAAAGGCCATACAGAAATTGTTAGATTATTATTAAAACAAGAAGGAATTGAAATTAATAATAAAAACATTTTGAAAATCATAAAAAGTTCACGTAATTCAAATTTGAAATCTTGGATTTTTTATGGAATTTAATTTGAATATTTAATTACTCTGCCTTAATTCTTGCTACAGTTAGTGGTTGTATAGAAATCGTTGAATTATTATTGAAACAAGAAGGAATTGATATCAACAGCAAAACCATTTGAAATCAAAAAAAAAAATTCAAAGAATTCAAATCTAACTTTTTCAATTACATTGAAAATTTCATTAATTTTATGGAATTATTTAAATTGAAACATTTAAATTATACGTCTTTGATTTATGCTGCATCTGGAGGTCATACAAAAATCGTTGAATTACTGCTAAAACAGGAAGGAATTGATTTCGACTTCAAAGACATTTAATATCAAAAGCATTCATTCAATTCAAATCTAATTTTTCATTATATTGAAAAATTTATGATTTTATTGAATTTTTGAATGAAGTTATTCACAAATCTGCCATCGACTATGCAAGAAAAAATAATTATACAGATATTGTTGAGATTCTATCCAAAAGACCAAATAAATCAAGCCCAAAAGAGCCAGAATAAAAAAAATGAATATTGAACGCTACAAACTTCAACATTATAAATGTTATAAACTATATAAATAAACGTTTTTTTTACTTAAACACTCTCTTATTTCATATATATATATATAAATTACGAACTGCTTTTTATTATTTTTTTTTGGTTTATTGAATTTTCTACTTATTTAAAGATAACGTCGTGATGCCCAAGTAGCAATTAATCAAAAGCAAGATAAAGACTTTATCTTGCTTTTGATGATTCTGTTTGATTTTATAGAGTTAGTAATTGAATTATTTGTATTTTTTTATTTAAATATTAAAAAAGTATATAAAGTTTAATCAATATACATTTATTGCTTTACTTGAAAATGTTTAAAAACTCTAATTTATTGTATGAAATTGATTTCGATAATAATTAAACAAAAAATGAGCGATGGACGGATTCGAACCGCCGGTCTTGAGGTTATGAGCCTCACGAATTAACCTGCTCTTCCACATCGCATCTCTATATACAAGTAATTATTAAAATTCATAATAATATTAATTAACAGTCAAATAATTATTTGAAGAAATAACAACAAAGTTAGAAAAAAATAACAAAAAGAATAAAAATCAAATAAAATGTTAACTAAAAACTTTTTAAAATATATGCAAAATACTATTTGTTTATTATAGAATTGATCCAAAACCTTCATAAAAGAATTTATTAATATTTATAATGCTTGATTTAAGCTTAACTTTCTTTTCTCTTTTTCTTTGAAATTTTGTTGATTCATAATAATAATTATTAATATCAAATTCATATTCGATTTTTGACCAAAGATTGTATTTAATCATAAATGTTTCATCATCTTTGAAACCTTTTTCAATTATCATCATAAAAATATCATTTGATAAAAGTTTATAATCATTTTCATAATGTTTTTGTATTTCAAATTCAATATTTTCTAAACAAATACAACTCTTGTATTTTTTGATTAGCACCAAACATAGTAATTCTTTTGAAGGTTTGAAACCAAAAAGAAATGATTTAATCAATAAATCAATTGATTCATCAAAGTTCTCTTGATTTTCATTAAAAGTATAAATACTAGCCAAATTGAACATTGCAACAACATTTTGCTTTTTATTAATTGCTTCTTTTAATAATTCAATTGAATAATTAACGTCTTTTTTAACTTCATATCCGTTTTTATAGATCAAAGATAAATTATTTTTTGCAAATTCATTATTGAAAGAAGATGATTCTTTATAATACGAAATTGATTTTTCTATATTTAAAGAATCATCTTCTGAATAAATAAAGCCTAAAGTATAGTATGATTCTATATGGCTATTTTTTGCACTAAGTGTGAGGTACATGATTGCTTTTTGAACATTTCTTGAATAAAAAGCTCCTTGATAATAAAAAAAGCCAAGTGTGAATAATGCATCTTTTTGATTCTGATTTGCTGCCATTTCTAAATAATGAAGTCCTTTATTATGATCAATTTCACTCTCCTTATGAAATATATAAATATATCCCAGGAAGAAATATGCTGTAGCAAAGTGCCTTTCTGATGCAAGCTTTAGATAATAAATTGCTTTGTTTATATCTTGTGGAACTCCTTTTCCAAAATAATATAATTTACCAAGCTCAAATAACGCAAATTGATTTTTGTATTTTTCTGCAGAAATGTTATAATAATATAGTGATTTATTAATATCTCTTCTGGAACACTCCATTGAATAAATACGCCCCAAGCAATAATATGCATATTCACCATCATTATCTGCAGCAAGTTCAAAATAATGTATTGCTTTTGGCAAATCAACAGGAGTACCAATTCCAAACATATAAATTGCACCTATCATAGATTGAGAATAACAATCATCTTGATTCGCTCCTAAAGAGAGATAATAAAGTGCTTTATTTATATTCTTTTTACCATATATTGAATCAGAATAAATTTTACCAAGTAGTGTTATTGCCTTTAAATAATTCTTATCTGCAGCAAGAGTCAATAAATGAATTGCTTTATCAACGTCTTGTTGAACAAATTCTCCTTGCAAATAAATATCGCCTAATAAATATTGGGACATAAAAAAGCCTTGATTTGCAGAAAGTGCAAAATATTTTAATGATTTGTTGATATCTCTTGGAATATCAGTACCAATATAATATATATATCCAAGGTGAAATTGGGCAACTGGATCATTTTGTTTTGCTGACTCTGTAAAATGATAAATTGCTTTATTAATATTCCGTGCACTATGATATGGCGAAAGATAAATCAACCCTAACATTGAATGAGAATCTTTATTATTTTGTTTTGCTGCAAGTTTCAAATAATAAATTGCTAATTTGAGATCAACACGGCCATAATTTGAATTAAAATAAATACAACCAAGTAAAAATTGTGCTGTTACATGATTTTGATTTGCTGCAAATTCTAAGTAATGAATTCCTTTATTAACATCTTTATAGATATTTTTATCACTTATATAAAATTGTCCAAGTTCATATTGTGATTTAATGTGATTTTGATTTGCTGCAAGTGATAAATAATGAATCCCTTTATTAACATCTTTATAGATACTTTTATCACTTATATATAATTTTCCTAGATGATATTGTGATTCAATATTGTTTTGATTTGCTGCAAGTGATAAATAATAAATTGCTTTATCAAAATCTCTTACAACTGAGTCATTAAGCAGATAAATTTTCCCTAGGAATTCTTGAGATTCAATATGATTTTGATTTGCAGCAAGTGTGAAATAATGAATTGCTTTGTTAATATCATATAATTGAAATTGATCAATTGAATAAATGAGACCTAGAAAAAATTGTGATTCTACATGATGTTGTTCTGCTGCAATTGTAAAATAACGAATTGCCTTATTTAAATTAACTGGCACATATTCATTTTTATAAAAAATAATACCAAGATTATATGAAGCTTGAACATGATTTAGATTGGCTGCTTGAGAATAATAATTAATAGATTGATTAATATCAAAAACACCATATTTTGGATTAGAATAAATAAAGCCTAATTCAAACATTGAATCGATATATTTTTGATTTGCAGCAAGTTTATAAAATTTTATTGCCAACTTTATATTCAAAACATTATATTCTTTTAAAGAATAAATATTTCCAAGTTTATGTTGTGCTATTGCTAAATTACGATTCGCAGCAAGATTAAAATAATGAATTGCCTTATTCAAATCATTTATTCCATATTCTTCTTCAATACAAATCAAACCCAAATTAAACATCGATTGTGAATTGTTATGTTTTATAGCAAGTGAATAGTATTCAATTGCCTTTTCTAAATCAAATACTCCAAAAATTTTTTGAGAATAAATAAATCCTAGTTTAAAATATGCTTCAACAGAATAATTCTTTGATTTTTCAAGAAGAGTGTAATAATGAATTGCTTTTTTCATGTTTCTATAATCAATGTTTTCTTCTGAATGAAATGATGCAAGTTTTAATTGTGAAAATTCATGATTTGAATTCGCAGCAAGTGTCATGTAATTAATTATTTTTTTAACATTTTTCGGAGCTTTATTGTAGTTAGGAAAAGTTAATCCAAGTTCTTTTTGAAGTGATAAATCATCATATTTCTCAATAAACAACCAGAATGGAAAGAATTTATCTTTTAAAACTTCATTTAATGAATATTTTAAATCTATATTTGGAACTGGTAACTGAACATGAGACATAAATTCAAGATAAAAGAAATCCATTGTTTCCGAAATATCAGCTCTTAATTCCGGATTTTTCAATGTGCTTTTTTCGCAAATTTTTTTAAATCCAAGACATTGACCTTTAAAATCATCAAAATTGAAACTTTCTGATTTATATATTGGCTCTCTTTCAAAAAAGATAAAATATATCAACAAACCTAAAGAATACGAATCAGCTTTATTTGTATATTTGCAACCTTCAGATGTGACTTCTGGAGCAATATAAAAATGTGCAAAATCCTTTGTTGAATCATCATCAACAACTTCTTCTTTTATCATTCGATCGAAATCAATGAGAACAACTGTTTTATTCATGTCAATCATGACATTATTTGGCTTCAAATCACGATAAACGAAGCCTTTGTTATGAAGATAATCAAGAACAATCATCATTTGAAACATAATAATCAATCTTTCTTCAATTGAAAGATTCAAATTTCGAATATTTTGTAATGTATTACCATGAATATATTCTATCAACAAATAGTATCTTCCTTGCTTTTTCTTTCCATAACATTTTGGCAAAAATGGATGATTGATCTCTAGATAATTTTGAAGTTCTCTTTCAAATAATTTTTGTTTTCCTTCGATTGAAACAAACGTCTTTAAAATAAACAATTGTTCCTTTTCTATATAATAAATTAATTGAGTAGGTGAACTTCCAGATCCTACTCTTTGAATTTCAATGTACTTGTCACTTGATAAATCGATCTCTTCAATTTCATTCAATTTAAAATTGTGTTGATATTTGGCAATTCGATTTTTTTTGCATTTTGATAAGCTTTTCATCAATAAAAAACATGAAACACAATTACGAATGTGCATTAATATTTTATTTTCTTTTTTGGAATTATTTTCATTTATTAGATATTCAAATTTTTTGGAAATAGTTCCAATCATTTGAGCATAATTATGGATTTCAGAATTTTCTTTGATATGAATGATCCTGTTTGAAATATGGCTTAATGAGTCATTTTTATCATTAAGTAATGAAATAACTGTTGAATTATTGTGATTGATGAAAAATAAATTCAAATTATCTGATTTTTTAAAATTAATTATCGTTTGCTCGAAACAAATAATAAAATACTCTTCTTTTTCAATATTATATTTGTCAAATACTATTATTTTAGAATCATTTTTTCTCTGAATATAAACTTGCTGATCATTTGGGGAAAGAAAGAACATAAAATCATGTAAAACTTTATTAAGATAAAGATTTTTAGTTTTAAATATATGCTCATTAAATCGTTGTTGAAATGTTGTTAAGGTTTTCAAGTTTCCTTGCATTTTTTTTTTTTTTTTTTTTTTCCTATTGTAAAAGACAATAGGACGATTATTTTCCATTCAAATATAACAAAGTTCTAAATGGCCCAAAATAAGATCATTGTATTGATTATTCATCCATATTCACAATGCAAAATCGATATAGATTGATTTGAAAAATGCAAAAGAATTAAGAAAGGAGAATTTAGAGCTGTATACTTAATCAGAGACAAGGAAGCAAATGATTATTTCGCTGCTAAAGTTATAGATTGTGATAATAATACCGAGTAATGCATATAATTTTTTGATCGTGAACTTGGAATTATGATGGCATTGAACCATTCAACGATCATTATTATTATCAGTTTTTCGTTACAAGATTTTCAAGGAGAAAACAATGTTAGCATAATAATGGAGCTTGCACCAAATGGATATCTTGCAGAAATTCTCCAAAAAAGTTCAAGAATTTGATGGACCCACTGATTATACCAATACAAA